CGGAAGAGACAGCCTGCCACAGCTCACCTGATTGGACATTTCATATAGCCCGCCTCTTCATCACTGATTGACTGCTGCTCTACTATCCTCCTTCTAAGTCAAAAATAAACAGGAAAAGAAACTTCTTCCTGCAAAGAGGATCCCAAATGATAGACAATAGTCAGAGACTTCTCCAGCTGGTTGTCTTCAACAGTGTAGATCTCAGCTACACAGAGAAATATGTGTACAAAAGTGCGTTACCTCAGGCTTTTCATTTCCAAATCCATTTCATTTCAAGGATAAAAAGAAAAAATACACTAAAACTAAATTTCATAACATGTGAATCAGGGGGCAACACTGGTATATACATTGCACACTGTCATCCCAGATCATTCACCCAGAGCACAAGACATTTTATTCAATTTTCTTAAAAATACTGTTATGTGGACCTGAATTAGTTAATTATGATTAGCAATGAGACAGGGCTAGGTCCTCCGAGGAGCCCGTCCAGAAACCCAGATACCTTGCAACTATGGAGAAGATGGACAACTGCTATGGGCTAAGCCTCAAGACAGAAGATCAACTAATTCATCCATATCCTAAGGACCGATATTCTAAATAGTTCCCTAGCACTCTGAGGAAGTCAGGAGTCACCATTCAAAGAAATGTATCCTTATCCTAAAGACTGACATTCTAAATAGTCCATATCATCCTGATGAACTAAGGAATCACCCTCCCAAACCCCTAAGGGAAGATTCACTGCTGACTAAGAATGCCTGCTTTCTATGTGACTCCCTTCCCCCTTTGTTCCCAATTTAATCAACTTTACCTGAACTATTTATCTTATTGGCTACCATCTATCCCATCTTATACCAATCTGCATTGTGAGTTCCCAGTTTTCCCCACCTTCAACCCATCTCACCACATGATTTTACTCTATAGAAGTCCTTGGAAAAGACAGTCTTGCCAACCCAGTCAGGACACATTTGCTCTCTCTCACACAAACTTTCTTTCTCCCAATAATTATATTATCTTGACTTCTGTTTTTTTCTAAAATTCATTTTTTGACCTCAGAGAACACAAGCTCATACCAGACATAGTAGACCTGGAGTTTCATTACCCTATAGCAATAACAGTGTAAATTTTTGTCTTTCTTTAAGTCAGAGAAATCAGTAGATGATTGTATTCTTAAATGTTGATCTCACCTCTTAAGGGACATTTGCATTGAAGGACATTATCCCTGCCTTTTAGTGCTGCTTCTGTTTTCTGAAAGTGAATTGATCTGTAGTTTTGTTTATGCTATCCATAACGCCTTAAGGAAATGACTGGAACTTTCCTTGTGAATTGTTTACCACTAACCATGGGAGAAGACACATAGCAAAAATTCTTTATTTTCATTTCTTAATTTAAACTGAAGGATGTACTTTAAAGAGTTTTGCCCTAGAATAAATTACAGGATATCATGTTGTAGTTGATCAGGGTGAAAGGTCAAATCAGGCTACTTCCTCTTGTTTTCCTGAATACAACTTCCTCATTCCTTTCCCAAGTGCCAAAAGATAATTCAAATCAGCTCCTTACATGATATCAATGTCAGTGCCAGCACCACTAAATTTTGTATATAGCCTATAATCCAATAATCAGTCAGAAAAGAAGGCAAACCCTTGGTGGCTGTAGGCTCCTCTCCACATTCTTTAAATAGAAAGGACACTGCTACTTTTTCTTATATTCTGTGAAATGGTTTTGGCCCAGACAGGACTCTGTAGCCAGGAAAGCCTCAATCAGAAGCAGGAAGACCCTATCTCCCCCACCCCTAGGAATTTATCTGTGAGGCCATATTCCCCACCTCTGCAAATTTACCTATGGCGCCAAACCTAAGACCAATGGGCTACCTGTGCATCCCTAAAGTCCTCCTTAGGTTCCACCCCACATGGAGGCTACTTACATACCTCTACCCTATGTGTCTGCCAGAGACATCATTGGACTCCAGCAGTGGGGGGTGCCGGTCATCTTTCTCCATGTTCTCAGAATAAAAGCCTCTTTGTGTCTTATACTTCTCATCTTTTGGAAATATTTTTCATCTTTTGGAAATAATACAATCATTCTGCTTCTCTATTGGGCCATAAAATCCTAACAGTACTGATTTTTGTCTATGTATGAAGGTAATTTACCTCCTCAGTAATTCACATGCTCTATTCCGCAAGTATCCATTGGAAATAAATGCAGTGGGCTTTTGCTTCACTCTATCAGTGTCAATGCAGTGGCTTTACTCCTAAAATAAAAATAAATCTTCATATAAGTTTCAAAACAGAATTATGCATCAAAATATAGCCAAGGTCCTAGAGGCCTATGGACTGGTTTCAATAATATAATAGAAGCCTTCAAGAAACTGAAAAAAATACACAGTTTATCTAACTAAAAATTGTTCAAGCAACCAGTGATGTAGAAATTTTTGTGAACAATTATAGGTGAACCTTCTCTTTTATAAGATATAACCTAGTGTCATGGCAAAGTCTAGGTCTTACTAAATAATACAATCAAAGCAATTATTTTACACTTATAATGACTGTTTTATAAAATTTACGATATTGCCAGTACTATAATCACTGTGAGTTGTATTAATCACTTGAAACTACAGAAAAAGGAACAAATTTCAGACATTATAAAAGTATGGTCATGTTAATTTGGCTCATGTTAATGGTATAGGGGAATGAAACGCCCTTACCTACTATATATCCAGAATGAGTTTGTGTTCTCTAAAATTAAAGAATGAATTTTAGGAATGATATAGTTTAAGAGTGGAATATATTTATTGGGAGAAGGAAAGCTGCTGTCTGAGAGACAGGAAGGGTCTCAATGGGTTACCAAAGACTTTGTCTCTTTGAGGAACTTGTATAGAGCGAAATCATGAGTTTAGATGGGTCCAGAGGAGGGGAAAATGGGAATCTGAAATTTAAGCATAAGGCGGAGTAGAAATATGGTCAACCAATAAGGTTAATTGCTCAGGTAAAATTGATTAAATTGGGATCAAATGGGAGAGCAAGTCATAGTAAGTGGGCAGGTTTAAGAGCAGAGACTCTTCTTGTAGAGGATTGGGAAGGTGACTCTTGTGCTCCTCAGGGTGATCAGAGAACTATTTGGACTGTGGATCCTTAGCACTTGATTGTATTTAATTTACCTTTTGTTTTGAGATTTGGCCCACAGCAGGAGGTGATTGTCTCTTTCAGTCCTGCAAGCAATCTGAACTTATTTTCTGGCTCCTTTGAGGGCCAAGCCCTGTTGTTATAGGCAGCTGAGTTAGTTAGAAATATATAGCCAGGGAGACAGAATCAGGTCCTAGAAGTGGGACAGGCCTCAAGAGAAAATACCAAGCAAATGTGTCCATATCCTAAGAATTGATTTTCTAAATAGTTCCCTGTCACCCTGCTGAAGTCAGTAGTCACCCTCCCAGTCCCATAGAGGAGAGTTACTGCTCTGTAAAATGCCTGCTTTCTATGACCTCGCTTCCCCATTTTTCTGAAGTGTAAATGATTTTACCTGAACTATTAATTATATTGGCTAAAGATATCTCTGTCCAAAGTTTTGCCCATCTGCCTTGTGAGTTCCCAAGTTTCCCCACCTTAAACCCATCTCACCCCATGATTTTATCCTATAAAGTCCCTAGAAGATACAGAGTCCTTGACAACCCACTTATGACCACTCCTGTTCTCTCAGACAGAAGCTTTATGAGAGTGTTTTCACTGTGGTAAAAGAGAGAATATAAATTAAAATTGGCCTTTATTCTAAGAAGGTGGAGAGTACAGCATAACCACTAGACATCTGCCTTTTTCTGCTGGATAGGTGGTGAGGGGGATTATATCTACTTTCTGACTGGGGTGATGCATAAAATTGGCATTGCTGATGTGCCAGTAGCTGATTGGGACTCTTTTCATGCCACAGGTAAGTTGCCTAAGGGAGGGGTATGTGAGCTCAGGGTAAATGTGCCCTGGCCTGCTTCCCACTGCTGTAATATCCTATCTAGAGCAAAAAGCTTTCACTTTTTTCTCTCAATAGTTATATTCTGCTCTTCACCTCCATTGTTCCTAAAATTCATTCTTCTATTTTATAGAATACAAACTCCTACCAGACACAGTAGGTCTGGAGTTTCATTCCATTATATCACTATCTGACTGCCTATATTTCTAAGTATCACAGATCCCTGTAACATTAAGAATTATTTATCTATTTCACTTAGCATAATTGTAGCAAATAAAATGTACTTAATGGATGCAGTGAAATATCCCATAAAACTGAAAAAAATATTATTACAGTTTCTCTATCTATCATCACCAATGATTTTCATCTTTCAACTATGTGGGGAAAAAATAAAAGCAGCTCTCAGCAAATAGCAATGATATAGTGCACAGTTTATTACTCACTGTATTTACCATGTTATTTGTAGATACTTCATAGATGACAAAAGAAACATTGAGCTTTTTAATGAAAAACTATCAATTTCAATAGTTGTGCTTATAGCACTACACGGTTGACAACTGTACACTGGAGATTCATTCCATGGGCTTCCACGGTACCCAGAGCAAGAATCTCTCGGGGAAACCAAGGACCCAGTTCCACACAGACATCATGGAGGGAGCCGATTGTTGCCTTTAATCATCAGTGTAGCAGGCACTGACCATGATGCAATGACCAGTGCAGAAAGAACCACTTCTCTCTTGTGACTTCATTTTATTCAGACCACACAGTCACCCTGGAGAGCAGACCAGGTACTACCCACATTATGGTGAATGTGCCTAAGTTCCTGGACTCTGTACATGTGGACACATAATAGGGACGGGGAGTCCCCAGAAGGCACACAGAATGGGGTGATTCATCAGTGTATGAACTGAAGGTGGAGGAAAGGCAAGCAGGATGCACTCCCACTGTCCACTCACTTCTCAGATAGTTATAGAGCAGCACCCTGTGGAGCACCCATGATTAGAGTAACACTGCAGACTCCACTCTCTTTCTCACAGAGGCAACATTCCATGAGGGCTCAACAGGGAGATGTATTTCAGGCTTCCCTGAGTAATGGAGGGCAGGTGGTCACAGCAGTATCCAGCGACTTGTCAGCAGGTGAGGGCTGCCTGGACCAGCCTTAAAGAAGGCAAGGAAAAGGCTGGGGCTGAGCTTTCTGCAGTTGGAGCAGGAGTCTGGTGTCCAACTTCACAGGATGTCCCAGGTGGGCAGTTTGGAGGGAGGCCAGGCCTGCACTGCTGCTTACTCCTGTCCTCCCAGGAACAGATCTTCGCATTTTGGCTACCAGCAGGTGCTGCTGAGAGAGCTAGGACATCCCGCTCAACCTACCTGGCTGTGTCAGACCAACCTGAGTTCACTGAAGCTGAGAACTACAGTACTCTAGGTCTGTGGGTCTCTGGGAGGGCACAGAGCACTTTAGACAGAGAAAGACTCCCATATGTGGGGCCTCCTGCAACTCTGAAGCATGCAGAAGTGAGTGGGGTGAGGCAGAATGGGAAGTTTTGCTGGGGTGGATTTGTGCACACAGTTGTCTCTGACAGGCTCTGGGCTTTCTGGGGCCTGCAAGGAACAAGGATAGTTGGTGATCTTTTCTCTTTTTGCTGGTGCAGGGCTGCCACCTGACTGAGCTCAAGTCCTCTTTGCAGGTCTTGTTCCAGCTCCTCCTCCAGTGACCTTATCAGCTCTAGGATCATTGTGAAAACTATGGTCATGTACCCTGTCATAATTAATTCTAGAGCTGGGGCTGCTTCTGGCTTCACAGTAGATATTCTGAATTCCAACTCCAACATTAAATTCTAAGATAATGTTAATTAAAACTTAAGATTTCCCTAGTTTCAACATGTTCAGTTCAGTAGTACCTAAGTACATCAGCTTTGTAGAATCTTCACATCTGTCAAGTTTCAGCTTTCTGATCAGTGTTGGACCCATCCATACCCCTGCACTCTCCTGCTAGTCCCCACCCACCTTTGACCTTTCTCTTCCTGTGAATTGCTACTTTGGGTCTTTCATGTCAGTGCATCAGATTCTGTTTGGCCAAACATTACTGGAGAAGACTAGCTGCTATTGCCCCTTGTTAGAAGAGAAAACCCCAGATAGACAAAATCTACAGGGAAAATATAGAGAGCATTGTCGATCTACTCATCCTTCTATGTCAGACAAGCTTGTCCATGATTTCAGTAATAAAGGAAGATAGGAGGGGCTGATTCTTCATGTTTTAAAAACAGAAACAATAATAATGTAGAAACCACAACAGAAAATCTTTCCTTACAAGTAGTATTGAGATAGATGATTTGTATTACAGGTATAAAAGAGGTCTCATGTGTCCACTTTGTGAGACATATGATAAATTCATGTAATTCAAAAGAGAATCACCACCCATGATCCACAAATGCAGAGAACACTCAGCTTCTTAATGCTGATTTACGCAGGAACACATCTCTTAAGTATTCTATGCGCCCACCTTATGGCAGGTTACAAAGCAGGTGCTGAACAGCACTGTGGAGATCAAGGTGGGAGAGCAGAGCACTGTCCCACAGCTCCCAACAGAATTCTAAACAGGGGTCCCTGGATCTGGCAAAGCTAAGAATAGAGGATTATCCCACACAGAGAGCTGGATTACTTCAAGATTTATTTGCAAGACTGTAGTGGTTGATTGATTGTGTCATTTTGAGACATTTAGGAGCTTAACTGAATGAGTTTAACAGCTCTACACCCAAGAATGGAGAAGACCCACCCTAGGGTGGCTCATCACCTAGAGGTATAAAAGGGAAGAAGGAAGGACAAATGCATTCCATTCTTGGGAGAAGCTCCAGTCTTCACCTTTGTTTTGGAGGTTGTCTCCTGGCTTCTAGTGTAAACTCTTCAGCTTTCCATCATAGACTTTTCAGCCTTTCATCTTAGAGCCTTTGGCCTTCTGTAACAGACCCATCACCCTGCTGGTGTGGACTTGCATGAGACACTGGGGTGAACTCCAGACTTTGGATTGAATCCTTCAGCCTCCAGTGTGTAGACACCCTCTGCAAGCTTCCTCATCTGACTGTGACTTACCATCTTAAGACTGTTAGGGCCAATGCCACAGGGAAAGAGACCCCAAGGACTCAACTCTTGGTGAGGCAAAAAAGTTTATTTCCATGCGCATGGGGTCCCCCAGGCAAACGAGTGCAGAGGGCCCCAAGGGAATTTGTGCAGGGTTTTTAAGGGCACAAGCGGGAAGCAAGCAGGTTTACAGAAGCAGATCGCATTGGTTAATTTTGAACGGCGCAGGACTTGGCAGATGCTGATTCGAGGGGTCTGGGGCTGTGTAACCATGGAGACTGAGGGTCCTGGTCTGATCTCAGAGTGCCAGGTACAACTCGGTCTCCTTTGAATAGCACATTCCTTTACTTATCTTTATCTTTACAGAGGACAGATCACCTTGTGGTTAATGACTAGCAGATGTATTCCTTCCTGTCCTGCCCCGATATCTCAAGGAGGAATTAGGGAGTGGAACATTCCTTACTGCTCTGTTCTATAGCTCGGGGTGGGGGGTTACATTACAAACGGGGAGTCGATTCTCTCAAGACAATCTTGTTGTTTCATTTACTTTTGTATATCTTGTGTTATATTGGTTTTCTCTAGTAAAACCCTAACACAGATTTTGGTACCTAGTAGTGGGTTCATTTGCTATGACTATACCTGACCGTGTTATTTGCGAGACTTTGGAAATGGCTCATGGGCAGAGTTTGGAATGGTTCTGTTAGACTGGTGTCGCAAGGAAGACTCCAAGGGCCTCGCTCTCATGTAAAAACAATGGGGTTTTTATTATTCCGTGTACACGGGGTCCTCCAAACAGGTGGAAACAGAGAACACCTTACTCGAGCAGGGCTGTGCCTTTTAAGGCCTAAAACCACAAAGCAAGCAAGCATTGTTACAGAAGCCAATCATAGCGATTAGAGCAGAGCTGATGGTGAGCTGTCCTTAAGGGATTAGGTTTTTTAGTGGGGCAAGGGAGTGTCTCCCTAGAAGGGGTGGCATTTCTTAGGAATGGGCGTTTGTCTCATGACTGAGAGATCTGTCTTAGGTTAAGACTGTTTGTCTTAACTGTTTAAGAACACTGGTTCCTGTAGGGGTGGAGCTGTACATACTTTAGCACCACAACCGTTCTATTTGTAGAGGGCAATAATGGTTAGCATATCAATTAGGTAAGATTTTACAATTCTTTACAGAGAGCATTGATTAACATATCAATCTTTTACCCAGGGGAAAAGGAAGACACACATTTACAGTTACAGGTATTACTATGATATAAACGAAGCTATTTTTGTGAAGAATGTACAATCTAATACAATCTGATGCAATTAACACAATTTGTGATGGAGCTTCTGGATAGGGAAGACCCAGGATGTCAGGAGCTATTACCTCAGGCCTTTGTTTTATGGCCTTTAGGAAGTTAAAACTTAACCTAGTTGGATTTGAAGGGAGAAGGGGAAGGGAAGCAGCAGATGGAATGAGCTTTCTTGGTCTCTTCAGTTCAGACATGTCACCTGGATGCATAGAGCTGGAGCAGCTTAGACTGTTCTGTAGAGAAGATTCTGGTCAGAGCTCAGGAGACCAGAAGGCTGATAGTCTGATGGTAAAGACCTGGCTTGTGAGGTTTCTGCTGAGGATTGCACTGGTTGTAGGACTCCCCACGATGTGTGTTATGGTGTAGAGAAAGTTTGTCTGCATTTTGTTCATGCCCAGTGATTTAACCTGAGAATGAATCAAATCACAATGAACTGATTAATCTGCAAAAGGAAATTTCAAAGCAGTGGAATGTAATGCTGAGGTTGTGGCATGGCTATTGTTGGGGGCTTTAGACTGCTTTATGTTGCAAATCAAAGCAAAGAGCTCAGCAGGATAATTTACAACTCTGTGAAGTTAGCCAGAAGGAAAATTCCAGGAAAGCTGTGGATTGTAAAGACAGGGTTGAGACTTTGATTGCTGAGGAGAAACAGAGAGACAAGAAAGATGGTCATGGGAAGCACCGGGTCCCCACACTTTGCAGCTTCAAAACCACAAAAGCGAAAGAATTTGCTCAGAGGAGAAAGTTGCAGAGAATTATGCTCCAAAATGGCAATGGAGGCCATGTGACATTCCAGAATGGTGGCAACATAGAGAAGCTTTTCTTCACAGTCAGATTCACAGAGTCCAGTGATTCAGGCAATTAACCCCTACAGCCAAGAGAGAAAAAAAGCCTGGCTACTGCTCCAGTTGACAGCAAACTTTGGGGGCATCCACAAGGTGTTGATTTTAGGTGCAAGGCAAATGCACAAATTCTGAGGGTAAACAGCTTGCACCATTTGCAAAGTGCCTGGGAGGCCAAGCAATATGTCCCTGAGAGGGCAGTACATAAAGATGTAAGGGTAAAATCAAATGTGCAGTGGAGACCCCAGAAGTTTGGAAAATCCAGGAACATGGATCATCCAAGAAAAGCTGCAAAAACTGAGCAGAGAACATTTAAGAGCAAAGCTGCAGGAACTGATATCCCTGAAAGTGACATGAGAGTGAAACCATCCAAGCCTTTTGGAGCTTCCAACCAGATTGCTTCAAATGCTGAGCATGACTTAATGTTCGCCAAGCTGCATGTTGGACTTGCTTTGTTTCCAATGCTTTATATTCCCCTTCTTGTAACTTTTGGAATGGTAATGTTTATCTTGTGCCTTTGTATTTCAGAAATGTTTAACCTTGTTTCATTTGTACAGGGTGTTACAGTTAACAGTTTGTCATAGATCTTGGAGGAGAATTGGGACCTGGAATTTTCATCAATTCTGCAACATCAATGCTGAGACTTTGCCAACTCTTGGAGATGAAATAAATTTTTTTTTTGTATAAAGGGTATACATAGTCCTGGGGTCCAGGGGTGGAATGTCATGGTTTATGTCTGTCGCCCCCAGGCCTCATGCTGAAAGAGTTAACTTTACAGCTGCAACCCCCGAGCTATCTGTACAAAACAGGAAGGGACTTTCTGCGGGTCCACAGAATGTTCTGTCTCAGTGGGTTAGGCAAGATAAGACTACTGTTCCGGGAACACAGTGACCGGGCTATGACCCCCAGGCACCAAAGTTACCCAACCCTGAGGCCCTCCAATCAGCTCCTGCCAAGCCCTGCGCTGTTCAAAACTAACCAATGTGATCTGCTTCTGTAACCTCGCCTGCTTTGCGGTTTATGCCTTTAAAAACCCTGTGTAACTTCCCTTCGGGGTCCTCCGCACTAGTTTGCTGGACGGACCCCATGTGCATGGAAATAAAGCTTTTTTCCCCTTAGAGACGTGGGTCCTTGGGGTCTTCTTCCCTGCGACACCGGCCTTACATTTGGAGGCCCCAGCGAGATCGTACGTCTCACGGGAGACGATCTCAACGGCTCAGCGTCCCTCTTCGGGTGAGTAAGACCGGCCATATTTTTACTTTCATTTTGGATCGATCCGCTGTTTTCTTTTCGCCCCAGGCCGAACTCCAGCTCTACTCCAGGGGCAATCTCTGTTCCTTGGTGATCGGGGGATGCCCCACACGGTTTTCCGTGACTCACCATCTGCGATAGGATTTTTCTATCAGTCTGGGGAATTTCATTCCCAATCTGTGGTCCGTCCAGGCCAATCTGGAGGCACCTCTTAAGGTGACTCATTTGGTGTGAGACTAATGCGTGAGAGTGAGGTGGCCAGCCTGTTTGTCCTGTGTGTTGTGGCTGTTGTGATTGGTTATTTGTTGTGTCGTGCATATGCTAACCACTCTTTGTCTTCAGAACATCATGGGCAGACGACATCATCCCCATTGTCCCTCACCCTCGACCATTGGTTGGAGGTTCGAGAGAGAGCTCACAATCTCACCTTACAGGTTAAGAAAGGTAAATGGCAGACTTTCTGCTCGTCTGAGTGGCCCACATTCTCCGTGGGTTGGCCACCGGAGGGGACCTTCCACCTTCCCCTCATTTTAGCAGTTAAAGACATCATCTTCCACCCCGGATGAGAGGGCCACCCCGACCAGGTCGCCTACATCTTGGTATGGCAGGACCTCAGGGAGGAACCCCCACCATGGGTAAAACCCTTCCTTCCTCCGCCCGACTCTTCCATACCCAAACTCCTGGCTCTAAAAGGGCCCCCTGCCCCGGTCCTGCCTGACTCCCAACCTGACCTCCCTCTGCTCGATTGTGATCACCCTCCTCCTCGGCCTACTTTGCCTCCTCCTTATGCACTTCCACCACCCGTCTCCCCGCTGGAGTCAGAGGCCTCTCTTCCCTCAGCTCCAACTCTCTCTCTGTGCTCCTCACCTCCCTCTGTGGCCTGCTCTGAGACCAGTCCCCCTGAGCCTAAGGCCCAGCTCGGAACACCCGCAGTAGACAGCGGCCGGAGGACCCGGTCGTCACTCTCCCTCTCCGTCCCTATGGGCCCACTATAAGTGATGGGACAGCGGAGGGAGAAATGCTGGCCCTTCAGTACTGGCCATTCTCATCCTCAGATTTATACAACTGGAAAAATAATAACCCCTCTTTCTCTGACGACCCCTCTAAGTTAACAGGCCTAATGGACTCGCTCATGTTCTCACACCAACCCACATGGGATGACTGCCAACAACTATTGGGGGTCCTGTTCACCACTGAGGAAAGAGATCGAATCCTTCTCGAGGCCCAAAAAAATGTTCCAGGAGATGACGGCAGACCCACCCAGAGACCTGATCAAATTGACGATCTTTTCCCACTAAAGCGCCCCGACTGGGACCCCAACTCTCCTGACGGTAGGCAGCATCTTTCCATCTATCGCCAGACTCTAATGGTGGGTCTCCGGGTGGCCACTAGGCGCCCTACCAATTTGGCCAAGGTAAGAGAAATAACTCAAGGGCCCACAGAGACTCCCTCAGTTTTTCTAGAACGCTTGATAGAGGCTTACCAATGGTACACGCCTTTTGACCCTGAAGATGAAGGCCAACAGGGCTCAATCGCCATGGCCTTCATAGGGCAATCAACTCCTGATATAAGACGTAAGCTCCAAAGGCTAGATGGTCTACAAGACCTAACTCTGAGGGATCTCGTTAAGGAAGCTGAGAAAGTCTACTATAAATGAGAGACAGAGGAAGAAAAGGAGTTAGCTAGAGACAAAAGACGAAACAAGGAATTGGCAAAGGTGTTGGCCACAGTTATTCAGGGTAAGCCTGAGACTGGAAAGGGAAAGCCCAATCGCCCCCCATTAGACCCTGACCAATGTGCATATTGCAAGGAGAAAGGACACCTAATTAAAGACTGTGAGAAGCTTAAAAGAAAGAGAGCCAAAGAAGAACGAGAAAGGCAGTCCTCACAGTGGCAGTGAGCCCCCATGCTCGCCTTAGATGAAGAGGAATAGGGACTTCAGGGCTCGGTTCCCCTCCCCGAGCTCCGGGTAATGTTTAAGGTGGAGGGGACTCCCGTGGAATTTGAGGTCGACACGGGAGCTGTTTACTCAGCCCTTCAGGCCCCCTTGGGAGCCCTTTCAACCAAGAAATCGCTAGTTCAAGGGGCTAACGGAAGCAAATACTGCTCATGGACCACCGAACGCACAGTCGACCTGGGAAAAGGAAAAGTAAAACATTCCTTCCTGGTCATCCCAGAATGCCCTGCTCCCCTGTTAGGAAGGGACCTGTTAACTAAATTAGGGGCAAAGATTTCCTTTGAGCCCCAGGGACCTCAGGTGACATTCCGCAACCCGAAGGTTGAACAGCCCATAGTCACAATATTGACTCTGAAGTTGGAAGATGAATATAGGCTCTATAATGATCAGAGTCTTCAGCCTGTTCCTCCTGCTTGGTTAGCTAATTTCAAAGACTCCTGAGCTGAAACGGCTGGATTGGGACTAGCCAACCAACAGCCACCTGTGGTGATCACTCTAAAGGCCACTGCCTCCCCCGTCCGAGTTAGACAGTACCCCATTGGCAGAGAAGCCCACCAAGGAATCAAGGTACATATACAGAGACTTTTAGATCAGGGGGTATTAACCCCCTGTCGATCTGCATGGAATACACCACTACTCCCTGTTAAAAAGCCAGGAACCAATGATTATAGGCCAGTACAGGATTTGAGAGAGGTCAACAAAAGGGTGGAAGACATCCACCCCACTGTGCCAAACCCCTATAATCTCCTCAGTGGCTTAAACCCATCCAGAACCTGGTACACTGTCCTAGATTTGAAAGATGCCTTTTTCTGCTTACCCCTTCATAAGGACAGCCAATCTCTGCTTGCGTTTGAATGGACAGACCCAGACTCCAAAATAAATAGACAGTTGATGTGGATGCGCCTCCCCCAGGGATTCAAGAACAGCCCAACTATCTTTGATGAGGCTCTCCACAAAGATCTAGCTCCATTCCGGGCTCAACACCCGGACCTCACTCTACTTCAATATGTGGACCACTTGCTTCTGGTGGCAGATACAGAGAAGGACTGCAACAACGGGACCCAAGATCTCCTACATGAGTTGGCCGCTCTAGGATACAGGGCATTGGCAAAAAAGGCTCAAATCTGCAAGTGAGAGGTAATCTTCCTGGGCTACACCCTAAGGGAGGGAAAGAGATGGCTCACTGAGGCTAGAAAACAGACTGTGGTCCAGATCCCCACCCCCAAAAGCCAAAAACAGCTTCGAGAATTTCTGGGTACGGCGGGGTTTTGTCGGCTGTGGATCCCAGGATTCGCATCCTTGGCAGCTCCCCTTTACCCATTGCTTAAGGGAGGATCACCCTTTGTCTGGGGGAAGGATCACCAACAGGCCTTCGATGCCATCAAGCGAGCCCTCCTATCTGCCCCGGCCCTAGCCCTACCTGATATAAATAAGCCCTTCACTGTCTTCATCGAAGAGAAAAAGGGAATAGCTAGAGGAGTGCTGACCCAGACCATTGGGCCATGGAAACGACCGGTGGCTTACCTCTCAAAGAGACTAGATACCGTGGCAAACGGATGGCCACCATGCTTAAAGGCCATTGCAGCAGCGGCCCTGCTCACTAAGGACGCTGACAAACTGACTTTGGGACAAAAATTAACAATTATTGCCCCACACACGCTAGAAAGCGTCATCCGCCAACCTCCCGATAGGTGGCTCTCAAATGCCTGGATCACACGTTACCAAAGCCTCTTACTCAACAAAGACAAAATAACCTTTGGGCCCCCGGTGACCCTCAATCCAGCAACCCTACTACCAGAAGAAACTCCAGAACCAATTCTTCATACCTACCAAGATATCCTGGCAGAGGAAACCGGGGTGCGATCAGACCTGTTGGATTACCCCTTGCCCGATGCTAAGGTGACCTACTTCACTGACGGGAGTAGCTTCTTGATTCAAGGTAAGCGATATGCTTTTGGGGCGGCCGTGACTGATCATTCCAATGTTATCTGGACAGCCAGACTAGAAGATGGGTCCTCGGCCCAGAAGGCCGAACTGATCGCTCTTACTAAGGCTCTAGAGCTCGCCACGTGAAAGTGGGCAAACATCTACATGGACAGCCGATATGCTTTTGCAACGGCCCACATCCATGGGGCCATATACCGCCAGCGGGGACTCCTGACCTCTGCAGGCAAAGAGATAAAACACAAACAGGAGATTCTTCAACTGTTGGCTGCAGTCATGTTACCCCAGAAGGTGGCAATAACACACTGTAACAGCCATCAAAAAGGAACTGATCCCATTACAAAGGGAAACAACCTGGCCGACCAGGCAGCGAAATCTGCAGCTATGGGTAGCTCACAGATGTTGGTGACTGATATCAAAAATCCTCCTAAAGAGGAAGCTCAAATTAACCAAACCTCTGAGGTGTCAGACCTGACTGCTTACATTCAACAGGCCCACCAGCTCACCCACCTGGGGGTTAAGAAGCTATGTCTATTGGCCCAATGCCAAGATTTTCCTGGGGTATCTCCCACTGCCATACATCAGGTTGCCACACGGGTTGTGACTAACTGCAAGGCTTGTCAATTAACCAATGCCTATCCTACTAAGCTGGCCCCAGGCAAAAGACTATGCGGTTCCAGGCCTGGACAACACTGGGAAGTAGACTTTACTGAAGTTAAACCTGCCCGGTATGGACTAAAATATCTGTTAGTCTTTGTGGACACCTTTTCCAGATGGATTGAGGCCTTTCCTACCAAAAAGGAAACTGCTGCCATAGTCACGAAGAAGTTGATAGAAGAAATTTTTCCCTGGTTTGGACTACCAAAGGTAATAGGGTCTGATAATGGGCCGGCGTTGTCAGGGATTGGCCAACATATTGGGGATTGATTGGAAAGTCAGGGATTGGCCAACATATTGGGGATTGATTGGAAATTACATTGTGCTTATAGACCGCAAAGTTCAGGACAGGTAGAAAGGATGAATAGAACTATTAAGGAGACCCTCACTAAATTAGCTCATGAGACTGGCTTAAAAGATTGGACGATGCTCCTGCCTTATGCTCTTTTTCGCGCGCGGAATATTCCATCAGTCAAACCTCCTAACCTCACTCCCTTTGAGATCCTCTTTGGCACTCCACCCCACATTCGGGATCTCACTCCCTTGACTAAACATTCCACCCTGTTACCAACCTCCTTGTCTGACAGGCTCATCACCCTTGACCTCCTACAAAGGGATTTGTGGACACAGCTAGCCTCAGCCTACGCTCCCAGCGAATCTCCCATACCACATCCATACCAGGCGGGAGACTTCATGCTCGTCCAGCGCCACCAACAAGAGACCCTACAACCTCGCTGGAAAGGACCATACCAGATCCTACTAACCACCCCCACAGCGGTAAAGGTTGACGGCATCGCCTCTTGGATCCATGCGTCGCATCTGAAACCGGCTTCGGCACCAGAGGACGGTCACTGGGAACTCAAACGGTCTGATAACCCCCTGAAGCTAAAGCTGCACTGCTTAACCCCCTCCCTCAACAGGACCTTTAAGATTAAAGGTTATTCACAAGAAAAGGGGGAAATGAAAGAGTTAACTTTACAGCTGCAACCCCCGAGCTATCTGTACAAAACAGGAAGGGACTTTCTGCGGGTCCGCAGAATGTTCTGTCTCAGTGGGTTAGGCAAGATAAGACTACTGTTCTGGGAACACAGTGACCGGGCTACGACCCCCGGGCACCAAAGTTACCCAACCCTGAGGCCCTCCAATCAGCTCCTGCCAAGCCCTGCACCGTTCAAAACTAACCAATGCGATCTGCTTCTGTAACCTCGCCTGCTTTGCGGTTTATGCCTTTCAAAACCCTGTGTAACTTCCCTTCGGGGTCCTCCGCACTAGTTTGCTGGACGGACCCCATGCACATGGAAATAAAGCTTTTTTCCCCTTAGAGACGTGGGTCCTTGGGGTCTTCTTCCCTGTGACACCGGCCTTACAATGCATTTACATTATGCATTTGTGATTGGTTCATTCTGTAGCACTTGGATTAGGGGTGTGAGTGCTACACTGGTCTAGGGGTGGAGACAGCATCTGATGTAATGGCAGGAAGAAGGCTTGTCTTTCTCTTTTGCCTGTTTCCTCCTTGCTGTTTGCAGCTACCATGAACTATAACCCCACCATGCCAGCCTGCCTTGGAGCCAACTAAGTATGGACTGAAATGTCCCAAAATTGTAAGAAATAAATGTTTTCTTTCCCAACTTTTGGCATCAGGTATTTTTTCTCAGCAACCAGTAAAAAGTACCTAAGACAGTCCTGCATTCAATTCCCAGAATTCTGTTAAGGAAAAAAAAAACAAAAAACAAAAACCAGGGAGCAATGTGAGGGGCTGCAGAGTACCATTGCCTGGTCTTTCTGAAGAGCTGTGTGCCCCAAGTAGATTCAATCTCCACACCTTTCTTCGTCACTTTGATTTTAGAAATGATCAGTTCCATGAGGGAAGAGGAAAGAAGGATGTTCAACTAAGAATACAAAATCTCAGTCACGGTGGAGAACAAATTTTCAGTTCTCTACTAAACTGCATGATGATCACAGTTAATAAGGAGGATAGCTTTCAAAACTGCTAAACAACGGGATTTGTAGTCCCAGTCACTGTGAAAGAATTTGTAGATTAGGAAGGTGGTAGATAAATTAACTAGACTCATTCGTTTTACAAAGGAGTCACAGATCAGAAGCACATTTTATCCCATAAACATACATAACCATTGTGAATTTCTAAGTGAGGATAGCCTGTACCTGTACTCCCAGCACTCTGGGAGTCTAAGGAACGAGGAACACAAGATTAAACCCAAATTGGGGAATTGAGTAAATTATTTAGACCCTATCCCAAAAATTAAAAAAAAACAAATTTAAATCAAAACAAATTTTAAAAGTGCGCAGGTATATAGCTTATGCAGGTATATACTATGCAGTTTCATAGTATATAAAGTTATATAATATATATTATAGTACATAATGTATACTATAGTTTCATAGTATATAAACTGCATAGTATGAAAACTTTATTTATGTTTTCATATTTTCTTTATTAATATCTACTTGTGCTACATTAAAAGAAGAAAAGAAAAAGGGTTTATTCGTTTTGTTATGAGACAAGGTCTTGCTATGTACTGCAGGCTGACCTTGAACTCACCATGTATTTCAGGCTAGCCTCCAACTATCTGTGATCTTCATGTCTAACCCTCCCGAGTGCTGGGATTACAGGCATGCACCACCATACCTTGCAAGAAAGTGGTTTTTTTTAAATTTTTTATTGTAAAGAGGATAAAACCAAATGAAATCAAGCAGAATAGAGTCAATCAAAACAAAAGGATGAACATGGTACATGACATAAAAACAAAATGTAATAGTAGGATGTGTGGCCTGTCTCTCAGCCTGCACAGAAAATGACAACGCCATGCTGAACTCCAAATTTCTCCAGATAACTGGGCAAATACCTAGGTTTTGAAAATGTCTACTGTAAACATGCCGTTTAAGAACCAATTCATATCAAGTGCCAGGGAAAGAATAAAGAACTTTGATTTAGTATTTTCAATTTCTGGAATTCTTCCCAAGAAAAAGAAGATATATGCTCAATGCAGTTTTTCCAAGAGGAACTAGACTTGTGTACACGGTCAGTAACAGGACAACAAAGTACAAGTCTACCTATGCATGTCATATAAATATTCAACACCCTGCAAATATATGATATGAGCAGAACAGGGTAGTAATCATTAGAGACAGCTGAATATGGGCAAGATGGGTATTCTGCAGCAGGGTTCAGCAATGTGGCTGAATTATTTTTATTTGTGGATTTATATTTTTAAACCCTAATGGTCACATTTCGCCTTGTCAAAGCCCCATGCTGCATTCAGTCTGCTCACAAAACTAAACACCCAAGTGGCACCAATATTTAAAGAAGCAGAACCCCCTTATCAATGTGGGACTGGAGCCAAAGCATGTGCAGGTAGAATAATAACTGCTATCTTAACTGTAACTTCTGGGTCCTCTCTCAGTCTCTGCAGGAGGAGCTCCGAGTGGAATGAAATCGTCATTTTGGAGGTAAATATCCGCAGCTCAGCATGGCCAGGCTCACTGACAGCAGAGGCCATGTGAGACCCAGAGCCACCCTGCCACAGGTCCCACATGAGGGCTAGGCTCTCAGCAGTGCCTGGCAGGGCCAAGGAATTCGGGAAACGACCTAGGACTGGCCACGCAGACCATCAACAGAAAGCAGGGAGGAAGGGAGAAGGGCCCTGTGGACACGCGGCCAGGTCGCCCCAGGGCCACGCCCTCTGTCTCCCAGGCCCATGACCCTGGGCACCCTGCCTGGATACCCCACCAGGGGCACTTGCAGCTGTAATGTCAGGGCCACCGGCCTGTGCTGCCACTCTCTGCCTGCTCTCCCTCGCCTACCTGGCCCAGACCCCAGCCCTGGCAACTCCACAGCCTAGGCCGCCAAAGGAAGAGTGCTCTGATCTCTAGACAGTCGACAGTCGCTAGCGCCAAAATGGCGACTCCATGCACAAGACCAGCATCCACTGACAAGCAGGCCAGGGCAGGGCAGGACTGAGCTGGGATATGGAGGCGCGTGGCTCAGGGATGTCCATGTGTGTGGCCTGCCCAGGTTGGTCCAGGAGGAGTGTAACCTTCCTTTGAGGCCAGGGGTGAGGCCAAGCAGTCTGAGGGGCGGGGCAAGGGGCGGGGCCAGAAGCTGGGACCCAGTAGGTGCAGAGCCCTCCTGTGAGGCAACAATGAAGCAGTGGGCGTGACAGTGGGGGATTAAGGTCCCCCTGAGGCAGGGTTTGGCTGCAGTTGGAGGTCTCTGATAAGGCTTTTGGGAGACCCAGCCCCAGGCCCACTATGAGAGGAAGCAGAGAAGAGGACTGAGTCTTAGGCTTGGAATTTATAAGATGTCTGGACTCAAATCTTCCCGGGCCTGGCACCTTAGGCACACTGCTTCTCTTCTGGGAGCCTCAATTTCCACTATTGTTATTCTCCTATTATTTCGCTTTGAAATATTGTGGTTTTTTTTCCATTAAAAACACAAACCATGATGAATGGCA